ACATGGTATAGTATGCTTGTATATTGCAAAATCTGTACTCTGTATAGATGACATACGATAGTTAACAAGTGCGATCAACATTGTGGCTATTTATCTCTAATTATAGTTGTGCCAACAAAAACAAAAACAAAAAACCAAAACAACGAAGGCACGTTGCATTAATCGATTGTTAATGGCCTTGGGGCACTAGTTGACCCAGTCTTTGAGGGGGTAATAGATGGGTTTGGTGTTGCACTTGATGTGCTAGAGTGCTAGAGATTCTGTAAAGATATTTTGTGTTTTTTTTAGAGAGTTTTACGAGCTAAGTAAGTTAGAAATCATGTCTTAAAAGCTACCTGAGCTACATTTACATTTAATTTTAATATTAAAAAATCTCAATAATCGTTTGACAGGGAGATGTAAGAATGGATATTATTTATCAATTGCTTTCCATCATAAATTGTAAGCCTTTATTTTTCTTTTAAAAAAATTGTGCACCTACTCCTCGTAATTTAAGTAATATTTAATATTAAATATATTTGATTTAATTTCACAGCCTGCATGTGAAAATTACCAGCTGCATGTGAAAATGGCGCTTTAAATGAGTAAAATTCAGCGGCCAACTAATGCGAACAACAATTTACATTAAAAGTGGGTAAATACGTGGGGCAGGATAATTTGCAAACAATTTGTGTGCTGGCTAATACTGAATTATACATTTAATTAGTTCTAATGATTGCATTGGATTTTTGCAGCCCAGTCCCCCCAAACGCACACAGCTTTAATGTCATAAATATGCCATGGGATTTGTGTATGCAGCTGTGGGGAATGGAATTAGTAGCAGGTCGTAAAATAAATGTCTTTTCATAATTGAAATTTTGTGTAATCGAGCCCAAGTTATAATAGAAATGATGATTAGCATTTGCTGTGCATAATTATAATAATGCATTTTGTAGAACGTAAAATGTTGAATTACCTTGCGGGGGCCACAACTAGTAATTTTGGCAACTGACAGTCCGACAGTGCCGGGGCAATGATTTCTCCTACGACGAACCCCTGCGAATAATGTTAACAATCTCTTGACCAATTTAGCCCAAAGGGCCTAGCTAATCGTCTGAGGTAATTCCACAACAAAAACGTTCAACTCAACATGCATAATTTAGGTAACAAATGATAACTCGAAGAAATGTGAAGCCATGCATAAATTTTACTCCTCAGCTTGCTTTTACCCCCCCTAAACACACACACACACACACGGACACAGGTAGATGGTAGATGCAGATGCAGATGCCTCATGGGGCAGACAGACAGACAGACAGACTCCAGGCCAAAACGACAGACAATTGCAGATGAAACTGCTTTTGATTTATTACAGAGAAGCAACGTAGAGAAGATGCAGCAGCAACATCAGCATCAGCAGCTAAAGGAAGGAGCTGAAGGAGCCTGGCAGTCTTTCCTGGCAGCCCCAACTTTCTCTCTCTCTCTCTCTCTCTGCTTCTCTCTCATCATCAGCAGCAGCTGCAGTCAGCAGTCAGAGCCTGCCTCCTCCTGCCTGCTGCCTCATAATTTATAAACAAATGTGAATGAGTCAAGTAGGAGATGCAATGCCAAAAGGGAATAACAGTCGTCCATCAGTGTATGGGCGGGCTTGAGATTGTGAGGTTGGGAGGTTTCTGGGCTATGAATGCACAGGGTTATTCATCCACTCCAGTTGGATGAAAGGCAAAGGCATTTTGAATTGATGAGATCATAACGTATGTTATGAACGTCTGTATGTACTCGTATCCTTCACATTTCTTGTTCGACTAATAAAAGTAGAACTGAAAAATATACTGCAAGTCTGAGGAGAAATAATAAATATAAATATATGCCCTTCAAATGGAACTACTTTAATTAACGTTAAGTATTTTATTAATAAAACAACAAAAATGTATCCAAATGTTCCCAAACTCAAGCTTAAGATTAAGATATCCGAAATAAAGAATCAAATATTACCAAAACGACACGCTTATAAATAAAACCACACAATTAACCCCCTAAATCGAGTTTAAAGAAATTTTTAAATAATATTTGTCAAAGTGTAAGACGATTTCTTGATTAAAAATTCAATTAAAAAGTTATTCTCATCTAGAATATTTCAGAATATCCTAAACAAACAATCAAACAATATTTCAAGCCATCACAAATATATTTTTTCAGTCCAACAACAACAACAAAAAACATTATCAATCATTTCCAATTTAACTAACTAAATAAATTAAATCAATCTTTTAAAAAACGAATTTCAAAATTAAATTGTTTCAAGCTTTAGTTGTTTTTATTATTTTTGTTCGATTTTTGCCTGCAGTAAATTATTAATGAATATCTATGCCGGGGGACCAACTGGCAAATATTTTCATTTTTCAACAAAACTTCACATGGATACCCCGCCTCGCCTCCTCAAAGGGCAGTCAGAAACCATTTACATTCCCACATGCAGCATCCACAGACCGACCTAGCGTCAATTATTCAAATAGAATTGCTAAAATGTGTAGACTGTCGTGACGTTTTGAAGCACTCGCCAATTTAATTACAGTTCCATCAAATGCACACTCGTCGGACTGCTCGTCGTTGCCAAAAGGTAAAATACAAAAAACAACAAAAAATCATTCACAAATGCAGACAGGCAGCGGCAGGCAATGGAATTTTTTTTTTTTGTGTCCATTGCTGGGGTGCGATGTCTGCCATGAAATTTTGCGAGTTGTGGCATATGTTTGGAGCACATTAAAATATGAATAATTTAAGCTAAATTACTCAAGAGCCCCAAACAGAGGTCCAGCATATCAGCATGTGAATTTATGGCAAATTCTTCGTTTGTCAACAAAATATTTTGTTAAATTTCGTTGTGGAGGAAAATTAAATAAATTTGTTTATTTGTTTATAATATGATATCTACTTTTATTTATTTTTTGAAGTTCAAAATAGTATTGAAACCTATTGAAAACGCACTTAAAAGCGCATTTGTCTAGCAACTAGAAGACAGTAATTTGTATATAGTATACCCACAGTTCGTAATTCTATAAGTATCACTCATTAAGCTCATTTATCAATTCAGTTAAGGGCATGTTAAGCCCCACCACTTGCCCATAATAATTATCTCGGTAAGCCTAATGACTAATAACTATATTCGACTTGGAAAAAAAAAGCCAAGAGATTCTGGACGAGTACGTGTGCTCGTAGGCGTTTGCTGTGTGCTTGGAGGCAGGCATCACATACACATACATACATACGTAACAGACAGACCCTATCTACATAATAATTTAGCGTAGTTTTTAAATGGCCTTTAGCCAATTGATCTGATATTGAGATCTTGTTAAACAGTAGGCACTCGGTACGAGGGCGTTGTCGGACGGACGGCCGGTCGGCCGTTCGTTCTGTCGGTCGGTAACAAAACAAACAATAAAATTAAATAATTACAAGTCGTGAGTGAATTTCACGCGAAACCAAATGCTGATGCACACACTCTGATAATGGACAAAAGCAAGAAACCCAAAGAGTTGGCTGACTATTCGAAAAATGCGCAACGGATGCCTCCTGACCAATGGACACAACAGCACAGCAACACACAACAGCAAAAACAACAGCAACAGCAGCAGAAAAAAAAAAGGCCGGTTTTATATCGATGACAATGTCCCCGAAATAAGTGCCAACAACTAAGGATAGCACTACGCAGACAAAATCAAACCACGCACGAATGCAGGCAGTCCAACAGTCGAACGAACAGTCAGGCATTGAGGCGGCACTCCTCTTCAGACAGGGGCCCACCATTTGGACCGACCAACCGACCGACCGGCAGTCCAGCAGCATATAAGGCGAGCAAGCATCCCCACTAAATTCCAGGAACATGTTTAAACGATGTCGAGCATTCGGTAAAAAGAGTAATGTACGCTGGCATGCTGCAGTCCGGCCATATGGGTGACAATCTTTTTAGCATAAAATCAAAGGTAAAGACCCTCGCATGGTGCTGCCAAAATTGGCAGAGATGATTTGATAAGTATACGCCATCTACTATTTAGGGTTCTGGTTTGATATTCCCTCATGGTTTGGCGACCACTATTCTGATATCTGATTTCGTAAATATTCATAAATGCTCATATCTGTCGGTGCTAATATTGGAAATTTCCAATGCAGGAAATAATTAAATAAAGGAAAGAATTTTACGTATTGCTTATGTAGTGAGGAAATCAATTGGTAATACATACCTACCTAAATTGAATAGCCCATAAGTTCCTCAGAATGGGGATCCTGGAGTAAAGAGAGAAAATGTATTTAATAATAATTTAATTCTAATTAAATCAAAAAAAATTATAATAATAATTTAGGTAAAAGCAAGACAAAAATTAAAATATTAGTAAAAAATAAAGATGAATTAAAATAAAAAATAAAATATAAATTAAAATAAAATATTAAATTAAAATAAAAAATAAAATATTAATAAAATAAAATAAACTTAATAAAATAAAAAAATAAAATATTAATTAAATAGAATAATATGAATAAATATAAATTAATAAAAAAAAAATTAAAATATTATACAATAATAATTAATATACAAAAGTCAATAAGAATAATTAAAATGATTTAGATTGTTTAATATGTAGATGTAATTTAGGTATAATTTTCTTCGTTGAGTGGTATAATTTCTATCCTTTTCTGTATGTAACTTATAGCGCGCCATGCAGCAGTGCTCTTCGGCTCAAATCTAAACGAATTTTAAATACTAGTATCTAGAGTTAAAACACTTAATATTTAAAGAGAAAATCAACATTCATTCAATCTTTAGGGGCATTCAGCCTTAAAATGGTACAAAAACGAGGATTTCGACAAGATAAGAGAAACTTGGGAGTATTATTTCTACACATTCTTTAAACATGTCACAGCTAATATTAAAGTTAAATAACTTTAGATATTACTTAAGGACCTTCTAATGGCACAATGCAAATGAGAAATTAGCAGTCACTTTGTTATTATTAACACCTTCACATACGTACGTACAATATAAGGATATAAGGTGTGGGTCTGTAATTAAGTTGAAGTACACGGAATACGCTGACAGTGCGTGCGAATCGAGGTCCCTGAGCACCTTCCCACGGGAAGCAACAGAACGCGCCCAGTTTTTTGCAAGTGTAAAAGCTATAAAAGGACACGCCGTATGGCTGGCGCAGCTTAGTTAGTTGGTGATACGCTTGCACGGACACAGTTCACCATGTCGGAGATCAAAGTGGACACAGAGGACTCAGAGGAGAAATCCTGCAACATATTGCCCGGCCCAGAGCTTCTGTCCCTGCCAAGCTTCGATCAGAGGGCCAGCATCGCCTCGGCGGCCTTGAGTGATGTGCCCAGCGATGTGATCATCAAGTCTCGCATTCGATATGGCAGTCCCTTGTCCGCCTGCAAGGGCCTGCTGCTGGAGTATTCGAAGAACACGACCATACACGGCATACGATATATTTTTGAGGTTCATCGTCCCATCTATGAGAAGTATGTGGTGTGATACGGCAATGTTCTTGCGCGGTTGTCTTACCCTGTTCGTGTTTTCAGAGTTTATTGGCTGTTCTTCACATGCATTTCTGTGTATTTTGCCATTTCCCTCATCTGGGATACCTATCTCAAGTGGCAGGAGTCACCGGTAATCCTCGGATTTGACGAGACTCTGGTGCCAGTGCATAAGATACCATTTCCAACCATCACCATTTGTCCGGAAATCAAAATGGAACGCAATCTCTTCGATTATACGAATGTATCGCGTTTGCTCTGGGAGGAATACCAAAAGAATGGTAATGCTACCAGCATGGATGATGAAGAGTTGAGTATTTCTATATCTTTAAACTCTTACCGGAACCAATTTTCTAGTTAAATTTTGACTCTTTTTATACCCGTACTCAAAGAGTTAAGGGGTATGTTTGATTTGTGGTAAAAGTGGATGTAGCAAACAGATTTCATATATATAATATTTTTTTTTTTAATTCCACATTCAAGCTCACAAATGTGACTGACTAAGTACGGGTATAAAGGTAGAGTCGCGTCCACAGAAGCGACTCACAACGTTCCTTCTCTTGGTGCTAAAATTACACTTTAATCATCATTATATCCTTGAAAACTCTATGAAAATTTCCTAAATTATTCCGGTAATCATCTCTTCCATAGATTATCGCGCATGGCTGCTGCCATGCACATCTGTGATCCGGATGTGGTGCATCGTTTTATGCCCATACTCTCCCAAATGAATCCACCGTTTGTGGACATAACCGAAACATTAATCGAATTGAGCATATCGAAGAATGAGACGGGTCCGTTTTGCAAATGGAATGGACGTTTCTATTTTTGCGATAAGATATTCGATTTTGTGGCCACCGATGAGGGCATTTGCTATCAATTCAATGGCCTTCGTCCCAAGGATATTTATCGTGACGAGAACTACATCAGCTACAAGGATCCCGATATTGTGGATTTCAATAACTTTTTTGATACGGATTTGCCGCGTTGGAACGACATCCGTGGCAATTGGTCGCTGGATACGGGTTTTGTGGATCAAGGACAGAATGCCTATCCACAGCGTACGGTCTTCTCATCCGTTGGGAATGGATTCTTTGCCTTTCTACAGGGACTGCAGCACAATTTTGACTACGATTGTCGCAGTTTCAAACAGGGCTATAAGGTATAATAATTATACAGAAAACTGGGTGTGTCTTTAGTTTGTGTAATTGTTTTTCCAGGTCTTTCTCAACTCCCCGGAGAGTGTGCCACTCACGTCAGGCAATTATATTCTTGTGCCCCATGGCGATGAAGTTTTGGTCAGTGTACTGCCCAACTATGTCATGTCTACCGACAATTTACACGAAATCAGCCCCGAAAAGTAGGAACAAAATAAGAGGTGTTGAAAGAAAATGGTCTGTGTGTAAAACCAATTTTCCTTTTTTATTCAGGCGTCAGTGTTTGTTCGATGATGAGCGTTCCTTGGCCTTTTTCCGTTCGTATTCTCAAAGCAATTGCCAAACCGAATGCCTGGCCAATTTTACGGTTTCCAAGTGTGGCTGTGCCAAGTTCTGGATGCCCAGTAAATAGCCTTGTCCTCATATTTGTTGAATATTAATCATTTTTGGGGTTTATTTGTAGAACCTTTGGGCACGCCTGTGTGTGGTTTGGATGACATTAACTGCTATACGGCTGCACAGGATGAGCTCTATACGATATTGCAAAATCAGACCATGGAAAAGAGTGTCAATGATAATGTGGATATAATGTGCAACTGCATGCCGGCCTGCACATCGCTGGAGTACAATTTTGAGATATCCCGAGCACGATACGATGTGGCTAAGACAATTAGGGCCTTTCGGGAGGTATATGAGCATACAGAGTGAGTGTCTATATTATTTATTGATAGAATAAGACATCGCAAAGATCGAAAATCATTTATTTTAATCGTCATTTCTCTTCCCTTTCAGTGCCATTGGTTCACGTCTCTCTGTGTACTTCAAGGAGCATCAATTTACGGCCATCAAGCGTACCATTCTGTTTGGTGTCTCCACCCTAATATCCAACTGCGGTGGCATTTGCGGCCTCTTCATGGGCATCTCATGCCTTAGCTTTCTGGAGCTGCTCTATTTCTTCTGCATGCGCATCTGTGGCAGTTGTCGCGATCGTCGCAAGCACAAGATTCAAACGATGTGCCCAGAGGATGAGACAGAGGATAAACTGGACTAATAGTCACAAAATTTACACTTTTGCCATTTGAATATTTAAATTGTATCTCAATAAAGAAGTTGTCTGGGGGGAAGCAGTTATTTCACACTCTCAATGACACTTTGCGGGTGTTTCCACTAACTAAATGTATTTATTTAGCACTCACGTAGAGTTAGATAGAGATACTGCATCGAGTGCACTTTAATTGATTATAAATTAAAAATGCATTTGATTAGCACACGGCCAACGCAATTGATTCGCTCTAATTAAACGATTGTAACACTTGAGCAAAACACTGGAACATTGAAATAAATTAAATTGCGGAATAAATTCGAATGGAATCAGCATAAATAATGCATTTAACCTGTTTGCCATGCACACACACACACACAAATTCCTGCTTTTGGGACATATTTTATCCAAAGGCAGAAAAGGCCAAGAGCAGAGAAAAAATAAAATAAAAAGAAAAAACCAACCCGAAACGTTTGTAGTCACAAAACAATTATACCCAGTGCTTAGTGCTTATAAATTTCAGAAGAATATTTCATTAAAAGTATTCGAAAGCCAGTTGTTCAAAGAGCCAAACTTATTTTTCTGTATTCAAGTGGATACGAACATTCTTTATGATGATGCGAATTTAATTTTAACACAACTCATAATTGTGATAGCTGAGTTCAGGAACTCCTCTATTTGTTACCCACATCATACTGAATTTAATATACCCCCAGTATTTATTTGACTGCCGTGTATAAAAAGCCATATTTAAATTTAATCTGTTAGCACCAGATGTCACATCCAATGACTTTTGTCACTTTGCCATAAATCATAAAAGAATATTTAGCATTATTAATAAGGCACGACAATCAAAAATATGTTCGCTCCACGGCTTTGATCTTTTCGCCCTGTTCGGGTCGTGTGGGCTGTCAAAACGCCATTGAGGCCGAAAAGATAATGGAAATTTATCTTCGACAAATATTTGTTGCCTTAATCTTTATTCTGCGTATAGGTTAAGTCTCTAAATATCTGTGTCACCATTTGTTTTCGAAGAAATTATGAAAAATATTTTAGTATCAGATATTTTACGATAAGTGTCTATGCTATATATTTATTTCGTTCAGAGCGCCTCCCCGTTACATATACAAATTTCGTTCATAAAAATTATATATTTATCTGTGCGACTGACAAATTGTTGGCACAGCTGTTTGTGTTTGAAATAAGCGCATGGATTTTAGTTAATGACCCTCAAAAACCATTTTCTACTTAAGTTGTTTATGGCTTTCCGTGTATGCGACGTAAATAAGTTTCAATTGGAAATGGCCAAGGAGAAGTGTACACATTTTCATAGAAATATTATGTTTAACATAAATCAAATGTATACGCAGTCACAGCTCATAAATTGCAATCATTTTCACAACATTCTTTGAGAAAATTAAAGACTTTAGTTTGTTATAAATACATTGAAGGCAGACAGAAAAAAACATCTAATATATTTCGTGCATCTTCCTGCATTTAAGGTGTAGTTGAATTAATCCAGATATTTACAGATCTTTCATAAATCAATCAAGCGGCCTTTATTTATGTTATGTTATCACCAAAAAAATTACTAGGTATATATTTATTAAAAAGGCCAAGGGGGCTTAAAAAAATGGCACACAATACTTAATTACATACATTCCATTCCTTAACTAAAACTAACTATCGTTCATTACACTCTTCAAAACAGTTCGATGGTTTAAGTTTATTTTTTTTCAAGAGCATTTCCTACATATAAATAATAGTCCCAATAACTCTTGGCCCATAAATTCCCCCTTGAGGGATTTTAAAGAGTATTTCAACATGACAAATACACATACATTAGAGAAATAATGCCACACAACGAACCATAAATCAAGCTAAATAAACACCATTGTGCCTCATGAGCGAATAGAATGTTAAAATTCCTACAGAAAACAAAAAATATAAAACACACAGAATATAGTCGAAGAGCTCATAAATAAATCTCACAAACTACAACGTACTTAGACGCGTAGCGAAATAGATGTGAAGCGAAAAATACAAATTAGAAAAACAAATAAATAAAAATCTTAAGCTATGCCCCAGCACCCAACCAGCCATCTTCTGGCCCAACCCATGCCCAAGTCGAAAGCATTTTAAAAAGTATTTTCAAATTAATTTTTATTAGCAGAAGGCTAATAAACAAAAATAAAAACAAAGTGAAAAGCTAAAGAATGAAGATTTTGATACCCTTTGGGAACGATTGTAGATCGATTAATGGAAATTGGGAAATATTTTGCTTAGTTTAGGCTTTTAGAATGGTTTTTTTTTGTATTCACACCGAATATTTGTCCTTTCAATGAAAAATCTGTCTTGATAGAAGTGCTGTCATAAGAATAAAAATGTTCCAATATTTGATCAATATTTTTGAAAGCTCAAGATGCTGTGGTCTTGTCATACCCTCTGCATGGGGCAGCTCTTCTCTAATTTTAAGAGCAAATATAAATCTATTCGAGAGGTGGAGGAGCGGAGAGACGGGCAAATATTTTTATTAGCATGTCGCGACATTTTTCAAGGCACATGCCTAGTCAGTGTTTAACAATTTCATTTGAGAATTTTTGTGTGTGGTTGTTTCTGTATGCTTTCCACTATTTTTGTGTGTGTCTTTCAATCTAATTTATTAATCGTGCGTGCTCACCCGCAATACATTTGTGGGCGAGCGATCTTGGATGGGATGGGATGGGATGGATGGTGTTGGCAGGCATCGTGGCTCACTTAAGAACTGTCGTCTTTTTGAAATTATTTGTCTTTAGATTTTTTTTTGCTTTTGAATTTACCAATGAGCACATAGCACAAAAATTGAGGTGCAACCATGAATCATGGCGTGGGGTATGGTGGGATGAGAGTCCATTAAATTAAACATATTATGGTTGACTATTTTAATATTTAATCGAAAGTCTTTTTTTTTAAAGACAGCATAGTTTTAGTTAAAATATTAAAATATAATAAATGGGTATTTCCCCTCTTCGAAAACATTAGTATTAGATGTTAATAATTATTCGCTACTTTCTTCAATCGATTTCCTTTTCTTTATTACATTATTTTATTGAGTTTAATTATTTATTTTTTACGTTTTCCTTTGTTTTGCAATATATTAAACATCTTAAACTGTGTTTGCCTTATTTAATTAATATTTTTTAAATTTAATTGAGCTTAATTGGTGCAGCTTTCACTCTCCAGTTACATCCTCCATAATCTTTTTTTTTTACATTTCAAACGAATTTATATTATACTGCAAATTAACAAAATTTATTGCTCAGCCTTGGTCTTACGTTATTTATGAACGCAATCAATGAATAACCAAATCAACTGTCAATGCGAAAAAAAAGACAGAGTTATATAAAATGACATAAAATTATTGGACAATTTTCATTAATCGGTGGCAATAATGTAATTACGATACACGCAAAACCACGCAAACAAAACCAAAAAGATAAATAAATAATTATAAACAAACAGCACAAGCAGAACCAAAAAAAAAAACTACCCCAAGCTTTTGGAGCGACTATTTGATATCCTTTTAAATGGTTCGTTTCTATATAAAACATTTATTTTTATATGATTTTTAAAGCTAAGTAAAGTTAATTCGAACAGTGCTTTGGTTTAAAATATATAGCTTTAATTTGCCATAATTATTGCATCTAATTATCCGAATAAATATAAAAATTTCGAATGTAATTTAATATTTAAACACAAAAATTAAATTAAAATGTACAAATAAAATTAGAATATGGGGAAAACTGCTCAAAATCCTTATACCCTTCGTAAGTGTATTAAAACCAAACAACAACAAAAAACTGATAATTAATTGTGACACAATTTGTATGGCATTGCGTGTTGACAGATTTATGTTTATTTTCGAAACAATATTTGTACGTGGATATTTTGTTGTTTTCGCATAACGAATGCTTGATAAACACACAGACAGATATATACACAATACATATATAAATATAAATAAATATATATTCTGCTTAATGCTCAAATTACGTCATATTGGAGCATGCCAGATCGGTTTTGAAGCCATAAATTATTGTCAAGATATTTGTATAATGTACGCCCTGCCCCAATGGGACATCAAATGCGATTAATAAAGTGTGAAAAGGGCAAAACAAAAACCTATGAATAAGGTTCCAATTAAAAATATTTTTATTGAATATTGAATACAAAAAGAGAACTCACATTCACAATCCATAAATTCTTTGAAAACAATAGCAAATTACTGACAAGTGCCGAGCCCCTCTCCAAACAATTTGCATTTCGAAAACGACAACAACAACAACCACAAATGAGAAGAATATTAAATAAATCTAACATTTTAATAATTTAATGCGCATTTATTTTGTACAGTACTGATCATTAATATATGTCAAACATGTGCATAAATCAGTTTGACAGGCAAAAAGCTGCCGTTGGAGAGACGGCGTGAGGGCGATGGAGATCAGCAAATCGTTTGGGGTGCAGCGAGGGGTTAGAGTTAGAGAGTAGCCTTAAAGCAGATGGAACCTATGATACCTTGGAGTTCAATGTTGAATATTTGGTAGTAGTAATACACAAAATATAACTTATCATATCATAGACAATTTCTAAGAGTATTCCATCTGCAGCCATTTGCAAATATCACTGTAATCTCCTATCAAATAATGTCTGCGAATTTATTACAAATCAAGCTGCTGCCTCTTAAGCCCACTTTATCTTGGGTAATAAAATCTTGAACATATACGTTATTCTCATACATATGTCCCTCAACCTTACAAAAAAAAAAAACAAAGTCTATAAGCAGTAACCGTCTGTCATTCAGACTCTCCGACTGTCTCGGCACTCGAGACTGTCTGTCAAATGTTGCGATTGATTGATTTATGCATGCATTTAACTTGAATTTGTGTACTTTTTTTTCCACTCAACAGATAACCCATACAAGTATATGTATTTACGATTGTACATATGTATATAAAAATTAAACCATGTGGAAATGTATCTTGTGTTCGATAGGAATGTCCGCAAAAATAATTTAGAGAGGAAATGTGACAAAATAAAGAAAAATTTGCATTGAACTTCCGCCTCAACTGTTTCCGTTACCAAAAAAAAAATAAAACAAAATACAACACAAAAATGTTTTGGGAGACTTTGAATTTTGTGAATGGAAATTGTGTGGCTTAAAAGAATGAATAATGGTTACTCTACTTGTGGAAATGCTATAACTGAAATATATAGCTACCGAAAAAACATAACTCTCT